CAGGTGACACATAGCAAGGATCATACCATGCCTGAAAATAGAAGACGACGTAAAAGGCTTCAGAACAAGGCAGCCACAAGCAGTTCGCCACAATCCGTAGCACCTTATTCATGCAAGGAAGGCTGTATTACGACACCCGATGGCTGCAGTGTTTGCACCAAAGTTGTTTCGGTAGTCGATGAGGCATTTGCATGCAACCTATGTCAACGATGGGCGCATTGCCACTGCGACACCAAAGTCCCCCGACAATACTATAAGCTGATGAAGAGACAACCATGCAAGTGGTTCTGGTACATCTGTCCAGAGTGCAGGAAAATGCCCGCACTCCGCACAGAAAGCCTGAAGGAGATGCTCTCCGCCACGCAAAAGCTACCAGCATCCTCGAATAAAGTAGGGTTAACACCAAAGGATAACACAGAGAGACCTGGAAACAGACCTAGAGCTCCAGCTGTGGGCACGCCACCTCGCGTGGGGACCATATTAGGTCAAGTCTCCATACCTCCTACCCGGCCCCAGGGGACGTCAAGCGCATGGCCAAAGACATCGACCGCTGAAGCCTCTACGAAACCCATTCCAAACACCCACACACCGTGACTGAGAAACAACCAGTGGAATTACTCAAACCCATTGGGAAGTCGGGCGTGCCACCCACAACGAACCCAGGTCACAGGAGGACCAACTCGATCATTTTGTTCAACGTCGATGTATCGACAGACTCATTGTTGGTCGAGAGGGAACGGTTTGACAGCCGAATGTGGACCGACTACTGTCAGATGCTGGGACTCCCTCCCCTCCCTGCAACTTTGTGTCGCCTTTCTCGAGGAAGCCGTGCACCCCGAGATAAGCCACCCCCTTTACGTGTGTCCCTAAATACTACCAAAGAGGCTGAAGACACACTCCCCTCTCGCGACAACCGGACGTTGTTAATGCCTGTAAAATTCGGGCCAGGCCTGACAAGCCATGGTCAATAAGAGAGGAGGAGAGAAAGTCAGCGGTTGGAAATCCCAACAGAAACAACACTATAGTTGTACATGGGATTCCAGAATTGCCAAGTGACCGCTCGGTCAAAGATCGGTACTTTCACGACGTCCAACAATGGCAATGGCTCTCAACCAAAGTTGGTCTCAACAGTATACCGGCCAACAGCGTCAGTAGACTGCCAAGGCCAGCGCACCTGAAGACCATACCCAATCCCAGACTACTCGCCGTCCAGTTCGACTCATATGCCTCCCTCACAGACGTTCTACAGGCATGGTATAATGCGAAGGATCGCATGGGTGGCTCAATACGTATATGTGAAAGTAAGCCTAGACCCACAAGGCAAGAGGAGAGACGACAACCACCAAGACCTCTGGAGTCAGTGGTCGTCACACAGGCGCTGACCAGTGAGTTAGATACATCAAGTAAAGAAGCCACCACTGCCACAGCCCCCACCCAAGTTAATAACAAAACACCAAAAAACGGAACAATGCCAGTCCTATGAGGACTGGCGAGGGTAGACCCAACCACATAAGCTCTCATCCTGCGAAAATACACAACCAGACCTCCCCTCTCACCAGGCACACTCTAATATGTATGTACAGCAACGTTAGGGGGCTAAGAGGGAAGGTAGCAGAAATGAGGACGCTGCGTGCACATCAGCACTCCGACATCATATTCATCACCGAATCCTGGCTCTCGCCAGACATCTCCGACGAAGAGATGCATGTTACTGGCATGGAACTCTTCCGCAGGGACAGGGAACATACAGCAGGAGGAGGAGTGGCTATCTACGTAAACTCCTGTTTAAAGGCAAGGATGGTTAGCGATACGGCCTTAACCCAGCTCCCAGAGTCCCTATGGTGCTACTTCACTCTCCACAGTACCAAATACCTGCTCGGAGTCATATATCGGTCCCCCACCTGCTCCCCTACACATAAGGAAATGATCATCAAGGCTATCTTAACGACTTCCTCTGCAAATTACGATTCCGTAGTCATTGCCGGCGACTTCAACACCCCGTCCATCCTCTTCGAGACGGAAGGGAGACGCATCAGATCCTTCAATCAGAAGCTGAAGGATGCAATTAAGACTGCTGGCCTCTCAGAGAAAGTGGGTGATGCTACACGCTGGGGACCTAACGGAAACGCATCGCGCCTTGACTACGTTCTGACGAACGATGAACTTCTCATTGAGGATGTTTGCATCCAACCTCCCCTTGGCCTCAGTGACCACGCTGTAATCACCTTCTCCATGATAACTAGGGAGGCTCTGCAACTGGAGACGCCCAACACCTTCCCTTGCTACAGCAAGGCCAACTATGAGACCATGAGGGACTACCTCATGAATGCATCATGGCCAGTGGACTGGACTCATCTCACAATAGATGAACACTGGTTGGAGGTGAAGAAAATAATCACTGGGGCCATCAGTCACAGTGTACCAGAAGTAACACACAGACAATCAATGAGAACCTCATGGTTAAAGCGTGGGACAGAGAGGCTTATCCGGAGCAAGAAGCAGGCTTGGTTCAAGTGGCTTACATCACGCAGGGAGTCTGACTTCTTGAACTACAAAAGGATTCGCAATCTCTGTAACATTAGAGTGCGTAACGACAGATTTTCCTACCAAACAAACTTGGCAGCGAGGTTACAAAGCAACCCCAAAAACCTGTACCGCTTCATGTCAAGAAGAAAGTCGACCAGTAAGGGAGTGAATCTTGTCACAGGCCATGACGGGAGTGTGCTAAGCAGTCTAGAGATTGCCGAGCTTTTGAGCTCACACTTCCAAGCCCAACTCAGCACTGACACAAGATCCACACCGACTCGCCACGACACCGACCAGGTCGCAAATAACGAATACCTCTGTCACGTCTCTATTACAGAGAAAAAGGTGTTCGAGAAGCTATCTAGGCTACGTCCGGGCAAGTCCCCTGGCTGCGATAACCTGAAACCAGTGGTTCTGAAAAACTGCGCCGAGGTGCTTACCAAACCACTTCGCAACCTCTTTGAGCACTCAATAGACTCGTGCAAACTCCCTAAAGAATGGAAGAGTGCCATCTTGTCACCCATCTTCAAGGGAGGAGACAGAAAAAGCCCTGGCAGCTACAGGCCGATTGCCCTACTCCCTATTGTGTCGAAAGTGTTGGAAAGCCTGGTAGCTGACACCATCTGGGAATTCCTCAATAGAGAAAACACTGTCCACACTGCTCAGCACGGCTTTCGTAGTGGTCGCTCATGTGCCACCAACTTACTAACCACCTGGGATGACAGAAAACCTGTACATGTTGTATTTCTCGACCTAGCCAAAGCATTTGACAGTGTCCCACCCACAGTACTGCTTCACAAGATCATGTCAGCTGGTATAAGTGGACCCCTACTCTCTTGGTTCAAGGAGTACCTGGAAGGGAGGCAGTTCTGCACTAAAGTGAACAGAATAAGGTCGGAGTGGAGACCGTCGACGTCAGGAGTATCCCAAGGAGCAATCCTAGGACCGCTTCTGTTCCTCCTTTGTCAACGATCTGCCAGACAAAATATCCTCACCCATCCTCCTCTTCGCTGACGACATAAAAATTTGGAGGGTGGTAAACGAAGAAGCTGATTGTGCAGCACTACAAAAGGACTTGCAGCAACTCGAGCTCTGGTCGTCGGAAAATGGCCTGAGCTTCAACCTGGAAAAGTGCAAAGTAATGCACATCAGTAAAAATGAGGCAAGTACGACCGACTTCCAGTACATGTTGAGCAACCGTGCTATCACCAGAGTGTCCATGGAGAAAGATTTGGGGCTCAACTTCTCCGACACCTTGGACACCAGCTCCAACTACAAAGGTATGACAACCAGAGCGAACGCCATTCTACACTTTCTGCGTAGACAGCTTGGCGCCCTCACTCCCGAACTCTTCCTCACCATTTTCAAATCCTACGTGCGGCCGCACCTAGAGGTCTTCAATACGGTGGCTCCTCCAACACTCAAGAGAGACTCTAATCTCCTTGAAAGAATACAAAGAACTGCAACAAAATCAGTTGTGGGGCTAAGGGGAAAGACGTATCCTGAAAGACTTAAACACCTCAACCTATTTACCTTGGGTTATCGCAGGAAAAGGGGTGACCTCATTATGGCATACAAGATCGCCCATCAGGCAGACCATGCAAACAAATCAATTTTGCCTGCAACTGAACGATCTTCACGAGGAAACCCCATTAAGATAGCACACCAGAGAGCCAACACCACACTCAGGTCCAAATTTTTCTCCCTAAGAGTATGTGCTTTATGGAATGCCTTACCGCGACACATCGTTATAGCTCCTTCAATCGACTCTTTCAAGAGGCGATTAGACAGTTATGTCACCTCGCATGGACTACCACGGACGTACTCAGGTAGTCACCAACCTCAGTACCCCCAACTCCCTCCTAACTACCACTCACTATCTCCCTCCTTAATACACCCACATTACCTACTAATTCTTCTGTAGGAACCAAACCCACGCGACCATTCGCGCAATTCCCAAATACTTTTCTTTCGTTCTCATTTCTCTTCTCACCCCTCCTTTTCTTCTCCTTCCCTTTTCTCCTCCCTATATTATTATTTTTTCCCTCTCTTTTTTTATTCTTTCTTTATTCCCTTACCACTACCTTACTATTCTCTTTCAGGTACCTACACAGACAGGAGTCACGGCAGTTCTCTAAACTTCCCAGCAACCCGTAGCTCCCTAATCACTCTACAAATTACAACTTACTAACCCACAAAACATCCACCTCACCGAAGCTAAAAGCAAGAAAGCAGAGGGGATTTCCTCGTCCACTGCAGGAGTGAACCGAACAACTCGAACCAAGCCCTAAGAACTAGATGCGAGAGATCAAAAACTACCAGTTTTCTACGCTCGAACTATCAATATTGGATATTGGATGAGGGTCAGCATCAGCGTTGAACCTCGTCAAAATCCAGGATACTGATTATGGAGAAGTGTGTGACGCTACAGATCACTCCCCCTTATTGGTTTCCTGTGGACCCTTAGAAAATAGCGCTGTTTACGACAATTGCGTTACGGCCTAACGCGCTCTAGAGGTTACTTGGATGATACTGCGTTTAGGTTGCAGGTGGCCTTTCTGCAATATCTTTGATCTAGGTTTCTGAAATACAGTGGTATGGCTTGTCGACTGGTCTCAGTGTCTTTCGGGAGACTTGTCAATCGAAGATTTCACTGACACGACGGTTCCTGTAGGGAATCTCAGGTTTCTACAAATTTAACCTTCCTTCTACACAGCTCGTTCACCGGAGCTGAAACAGGCCGTTGATTGGATCCACTGGATTGGAGTACATACTAACTATCTGGAAGTGAGCGTGGAGATCCAATTAGTTTGTGCTAGCTCATATAATGTATTGGATAGTTCTTGCTATGAATTGTGAAAACTTCATGATCGTCTGCAAATAAAAGTAAGTGTGTTTAGACAGGTTTTATTTCTTTCCTCTTTCAGACTTGTGCTCTTGATGTCACTCGTTCTCGTACTCATTCCTCTCCCTGAACCAACTTCCTCGCAGGCTTAAAAAACTCTTACCAGCAGCTGGCTGTCGAATTCTTCCGTTTGACGTGGTGATAAGCTGTGCTACCTTGTGGGTGGGAGAGAAATCACTGATGATTCCTAATAACTTACCCCCTGCAGATAGCAAGTCAGTTGTGAAAGTCACAGCACTTGAGAATATATCGTTGACTGATGATCAACCGAATAAGCAATCTGCAATTAAAATGCATCTACGGTTGAAGTAATAACATGTTTTTACATCTTATGAAGAATTCACTGTTTCATTTTTATCAGTCCGTAGGCTCTCCTGAAGCCATGCAGAGAAATACATGTATTCCAAGTGCAACAACTCTTTTCTGGTAGTTACAGTATTTATATTTTCCGCACGCTTCTATTAACTGAAATTTGAAGTTTTTGGTGAGTGACTGAAGATGAGGGGTAATTTCCACTTCTTCCCACTAGCTTTCCCGTGTCTCATGAAGAGTGCGTTGAGCTCTACCGCTTACTTCATTCAATCTAACCATTTTAGAGAGATCTAAAACGTGTCGTGATTGTAGTCTTTGCTATTTAAACGCCGTAATTTTCTTTAATTGTGTGATTATTGCTTACTTGAGATATTCGTGATAAAAGCGATTAGCTCTGAGTGAAGCTTTTTATGCTTATGTTTTCAGTGCCATTATAGGTATTTTCATAGACTCAGGGTAAATATTAGTGATGTCTTTTTTCCAAACCACACACATTCTCTATAAGACTTCGCATGTTCCGGTGCCCGGCATGTTTGTTCCAGGCTGCTTAACATGCAGTTCTTTGAATTTGTATTAAAAATTTATAGACGAGAAACAGGGAAATACATAGTTTACAATAGAAGTTTACTCTTTGGGAACTCTGTGATGGGCGGTAAGGTGGTAAGTGGTACTCCGACCAACTGCTAACTTGTTTACTTGCAAGTAAATTATCTTTTTGGCTGGCTACAGCATGCTGATAATCACTCATGCACCATTGCCGGCGCTTGTCGTTTAAAGAACTCAGCATGCTGAAGACGGTTATTTGCTGTGGTTTTAATTCTAGGTTTTATCTACGCGCTGTATCGGATTCTTAGTTGTTTAGCCGTTTATAGAAAACAAATCCTGTTATGGCAACTAGTCCCTTTGACAAATTTGAACAGCGTAATGAGAAGACGAAGATTATCTGAAACATGTGATGTATTAGCGCTATACGTTTCGAACAATGTGATCACACATGGACTTGTCAAACTATTTACGCGAAAATTTATGAAGTTAACAGGAAACATAGGAATGGGAAGGGAGAGAAAAAGAAAAAAACGTCATTCACGTTACTCTTGGTATGAAAATGTTGAACATGTACCTAAGCGGCCACAAAAACAAATGACCTCAACAGATCCTATAAGTGCGCGTGACAAACATCCATCGTCGTCTATCACTAAACATATACTAAAAACTAACCATATGATAGATATGAAAACAGCCTATAAAGTACTACATAAAAGTGGTCAGATCCGAGTGTTTAAATCTATTGAAGCTCTTGCCATCCGTAAATTCAAACCCCGTTTATGTATACAAAAGCAGTTTGTACTCACGTTGAATCTACCTTGGTAGTATTGATTTTAATTTTCATACCAAGAGTAACGTGAATGACGTTTTTTTCTTTTTCTCTCCCTTCCATTCCTATGTTTCCTGTTAACTTCATAAATTTTCGCGTAAATAGTTTGACAAGTCCATGTGTGATCACATTGTTCGAAACGTATAGCGCTAATACATCACATGTTTCAGATAATCTTCATCTTCTCATTACGCTGTTTAAATCCTGTTATAATGATAACAGGGGAACTATATGTATGTGGACCACAGAATCCTTGAAGGCTATATCTTGACTGAGTCGATTTTCATTCCAGGTTATCCGACCCCTCATAACTATGTTTTATCAAATATGGTGATCATTCCTTAGGTTATATAACTTTTCCAGTGATCAGTCACACACGATCAAAGCGGGAAAGAATTTCTAATTCTGTACTTGTTAAACACCAGTTTTCTTGGAGGTACCAGTAATAATATGACAGCCTATCACACTCTACCAAAGTTAAAAACACTATCAGATCTAAGGTATTCGGAGAGTTTTGTGGGATGTTCAAAGCTATCTTCATAGATGTTGGTCACACGCTAATGGTTTGAGTAGGCGAAGTTTTGATTGTGTTCGGCTTTTGCGCATTTTTACACATTCATTTTGTTTTTGACTATTCACCTCTGAGAACGGATAGGTTACTTTTAAACTGCTTTTCGTAATGGTTGACAATTGTGTTTACGCACGTGTTTGTGGGTCAATTGATTATTCTTCTCGGAGGTATTTAAGTCTCCCATCCACTTCATTCTTCTCTACTTCGTCTGGGGTTGGAGTTGGTGTATCTTGCGAATGAAGTTAGCTGTCAGTCAAGCGTGGGTATTATATCACCTCGGAAACAGCAACACTTCGATAATTTGGATGCATTCTTAGGTAAATCATCTCGCGAACCTTCATACAAAGCACTGTTTGTTAGTGCCACCACTGGTCAAAATAAGCAGAGTAATCAGTACCGTACGTTACGTCATGTGGTACGGAATAGTTCCAGGTTATTATCTGTTGATGCAGTCTAACTCCTCGGGTAGGAATATATGGTTCCATGACTCTAAGTTGAGGCAATATCAGGCACGATCCAAAGTAATCAAGACTAACTAGTATGGTATATCCTGTAGTTTTTCTGGAGGTAAACTGCTTATGTATCTAATATGTGACTAAATTTCTTCCACTTGTCTCTCTTCCATTCGTTATCTCTCCTCTGGTATTCTCATGAGGTTCCGTCTTTTTATATGGGGGTTTTCCTTGGGTTACTTCTTCGAAGTGTTGTCATAGTGTTTGTTTAATGCTCGAAGTGAAGCAGATAGCATCGTTTTCATCTCCAGTTAGTTTCACAGCAGTGGTTGGTTGTCAGTGATATTCCCATTTTTGACTGGGTCTGACTTACTGAAATTTTCATGGTAAAAGTTTGCATTTTTGTTGACTGAAAATATGCCTCCCAAATGGGATCGTTGAGAGAGTTCTGATCACTTTAGGCCAGACAAGATTTTTGATATATTTTGCATATCAAATATGAAGAATTGTTTTCGCCAATCCAACAGTGCTTGCTCTCTTTACTTACCTGGTTACTGGAATTAACCTTGATGAGCTGATCTAAAACTTTCATCATGTTTGATTAATGGTTTCTAGCATCTGTTCCTTCGACAATCAGTATAACGCATTCCGAAGTGATCTTCGGTAATCTTGGTTGCTCTGTTTTTTGTATGTAGCTAGTGAATAAAATCGCAGTCTTTATAGTTAAGGAATTTTCTATAGTTTCACTACCCTTTACTCCAGGCAGTGTTTACTTCTGGTGTAGTAACCAATTACAAATTGCCTTCGTCATATTTGGGATTTTATTCGAGCAATTTAAATCATTTAATAAGGCCATGGATCTATATCTCTTAAAGTATTTCAGGCGTTTCCTGCATTCTCACCGTCATGAGCTGTGGCTCAGTAGTTTAGGTAGTCGAATTTTAACCAATGGGTTTCAGGTTTGAATCCCGCCCCACCTGTGGAGGTTTGGGCAACCAGATAGTATCATTAACCTCCACACAGTACATGTGGCTCATTGCCTACTGCAAAACATGCACAATGTTGCTGTGCGTATTTCGGTTTTTCCTGAATAAACATCACTTCTACTCTTTGTTTGACTGGTATCACCACTAAATGGATAACTGCTCAGGTATGACTTGCTATAGCCCGGAGTTTTACAAGTGTATTGCCAATCATACTTGTGTGAAGTTGATACGTCTCTTGGTTTTCACGAGTCTACTATCTTAAAAGTGAGTGATTCGCCTTCAGGAACAGTAGCAAAAACCTCTATCGTTAGGTCCAACATTTGCTATTTCATTTCCTCCATTATCGTGTCAAAACTACTTTCAGCTATAATTAATTCAGAAATATCTGGAATTGAAAACATTCTGCTTATCAGAGGCAGTCATATTAATTATCGTAAGCTTTCGATAAAACAAAGGATGAATATATACCAGATTGAGTTGTGTAAACAGACGTAAATGCCATCATGTACACTCTTCCAGCGGGTTAATTATTCTCCATCGTGTGAAGTTTAGAATTAAATAGGAGGTAGTCGCACTTCCCCATAGTTTATTAGTGCACACATTCGATTGCCTGTGCATTCTGTAGGACAAAAACTATAATTACCTTCTCCACTTTTGATGGAATATATCGCTACATTCTTGCGTTTTGGTGCAATTATGGCAGTGCAACAAGCACTGCAGTTTGGTTCGGGTTTTCACCTTCTTCACTTTGAAATTAATTTATCAATCTATAAAGTATAAATTTTAATTGTTCGTCGGTTTTAACATGTTATTGTAGATGTCCATAAACGTGTATAATTTCTTTTTGAGATGTAGTTGTTTTCTTAAGCGTAGAAAAATGCAGCGAAAGTTCCGATCGATTTTTTGTGATTTCAGTATATGTATCTCCATTCGGTATTCAGAAAAATAAAAATACCTTTTTCGAAATTAAACAGTTATCCAATAATTATGGTGCATTAGAGTACTTTTTTCTATTTCTCTTATAGCACTACCACATCTTCATAACGAAATTACCTTCACCTATCAGCAAATTCCGAATGCCGATACCGGATGCTATACCTTTGGCCAATATTCAACACAAACTTCTAACTATTTACACAGATTCTGCTCCGAATTCATTATCAGAGCTAAACTATCCTAATTTATCAAATCCCGTTGTTGACTTTGAACATGACGGTACAAGTAACTGGACTTCTAATTCTGAGACTGTTGGTCATTCTCTCGTGAATTTTGAGGTTTCTGAAACTGAAACTTGTGCAAGTAATTTATCCGATGATTTTCATGCGCTTCCGGATTACTTCTTACATAATGCAGTTTATTTACCGGCGACCTTTCCGAATTCTTCAACCTGTTATACAGAACAAGGAAATGTTAATAGCTATGGAGACTCTGCATCACAGAATTTGATGTGGCCGTTTGAAGAGGTTCGTGGTCCAGTGAATGTTATGCCAGAATTATTGCATGATACAAAATTCCTGCCCGATGTTCATTTGAACTACCAAAAAGGTAGCGTTCCAGGAAACGATGCTTATGTTTCACTTCCAGCTTACATGGATGTCTCCAGAATTTCGCAACCATCAAATGGATTAGAGTGTGAAAATACAGTGCCATATGATGTACATGGACTGATAGAATTTCCGAAAGAAGCCATTGTTTATAATACGGCTCAGAGCTTCGCATCACAACTGGAAGTAACTTCAAGTTTCATCCCTGTAAATGATTTTACTAGTGAGCAGAAAAATACCGTACTGTCTTTGCAGAATTCTTCCTTTGAAAACTATGCCTATAATTCTTGTAACTATTTAGAAGAGGCTCCAAATTTCTATATGGACTCATCTGTTTGTATTCATACTGTAGGACCATATAATACCGGTGATGAGAGTTATCATGTGGATGGATATGGTCTACACTCAGCACCATTGGGTTCATATGAGGTAGTTGATCAAACCACTAAGTGTCCAAGCTATGATTTTGTCCCAGTAAATCATCATGGTTATACTTACTACGACTCTTCAGAAGCTGCCTATTACAACACTTTATCTGAAGGACTAAGTGGTCCTTTAGTTTATTCAAACTTCCCTCCCAATAATTTTGAAAATCAACAGCCTGATTATTATGCTGACGCTACTATATTCGTCTCAAACTTTCCAGACTCACTAATCTCACAGGAGAATAAACGTGTATCTGCCTATTTAATACCTGAAAGCAACCGTGGTTCGTGTCTAGAACAAGGCGATAATTATGCAGAACCTGCCGTGCATGTTCCTTTCTCTACACCTTTTGAACTCAAAGATGTGGATAGTTTTCACTGCAGTGACTCACTGCAACGCACCCAAGCACACGAGATGCCTTTAGTGAGTTCTTTTCTTGGTAAATATCTGTATTTTGCTATGATTTCTGGCGTATTTCAGTTATTTCATACTGCAGTGTTGCAAGTTACCATTCACTATTGTGTACATAAGTGTACAGTGAAATTAGTTATTGATAAACTAAGAGCGAATAGTGTCAGTAACAGCTTCTCATTCATGTAGGATGGCGTATTATGTCGTTTAATATTCTGATTTATTGCTGGAGAAATTAATTTTGGGCCTCGTTGTAACTTTTTATTAATATTTCCATTGTTTATTGCCAATATGAGTGTCCATTTAGTAGCTACTTTTCATCTCTAACATTGTTTGTGGTTTATGAACTGAGTCGTTGAATAGTTAGTAGAAGCATGTTTTCTCGACATTGCAAATAATTTCGAATCTGTTTAATGGGGTTATAAATTCGGTTGCTCAGTGTAAGCATACTCTCTATTTAGAATCCGTTAAGTGAGTTTGTTTCAACCAAAATTCGATATCAATACAATGACTAACAATATCCCTGCTTATCTTTTCCTTTTAATATCAGCCTTACACTAGACACTGCTAGATCATTAACCCTCTTCAAAGAAAGTTGACATAGTAAGTTTGCTCCTTGTGCATACAATTCTCTGTCACGCTTTTTACTGAGTACGTGCATCTCTCTCATTTGAAGGGCGCAGCATGCATGTATACAATTAAAAAATTTCTAAATTAAAAATGGAAATGATAGTTTTGCAAGTAGTTTAAAGGCAGCTGACTGGACTGTCAACTTAAAACCTACAATCTAAATTTAAAAAGGTGATCTAAATCGAAATATCTGAAATAGGAGAATAAAAGTAACCACAAGTAATTTAATCAGGAATCTGGGTAGCTGCGAATATTAAGAGCGGACCGAAAAACTGAAATTCACACACCGACCATCTGTACGTTTATGCAGTAGACAACGAGCCACACCTGTTGTATGGAGGATGAAGATACCACATGGTTCCTCACATCTCGGTAAATGGATCGGCGTTCGAACTAGTAATCTACCGGCTGAAATTTGATTGCCTAGACTAGACAGACAGAAAAATCAACGTAGAACCTCACGTAGAAGTGTGTTTCTTTTACTTACCACACTTCATAGTAGCCTGCAAGAGCATGTGAATAGAAAAAGACTGATATCATAGTAGATAATGGTGTATGTGAAGCAAAATAGTTGGAAGGTAAAGGTTTGTGAAAATATTCAAGCTTTAGAAGGTGTAAAAGAGTGAATACATTTGCGCCATTGTGATAGATTTCCAGCCACGTCATCAAGGGTTTCCAACCACTGATTCTTATCATTACAAGGACCCCAGCCAGATAGTCTGTACCTTCATATTCGGCTCAAAACAACAGTCAGAGACTTCATTGGCTGGTGTCATTCTTTGTCCAACCACGCGTAGCCTTCTTGCAATCCAATTTTACTTTCACTGGTATTGGACAATGATGTAGGTGGTGTCTCGGTTTATAATACGCGTGTCCAAGCTACGTCAAAATATCATCGACTAACTTGTCTTATTTGCTTGGTATCTCTCACCTAACCATTTTCACATTCTTCGCAAGGTGATCCCATCGTACGTGAGCAAGGCTGCGCAAACACCTATCGTCAAAAACGTGTAATCTTCACACCTACCTTCGGTGATTTTGTCTCACAACTGTATATCAGGACAGAGTGGACTGTAGCGCGGTATATTCGTACTATAATAGTTTTTTGGATGTCTCTCCAACGCCATATATGACGCAAGTTGGCGAATGGCAGATGGATGTTGTGTCTGAGCCGATATTTCTTCAGCAACCAACCCTGAAGCAAATCCCCAAGTAGGTGAAGTGATCAACGTATTCTACCAGTTCTGTCCCGATCCTTGAACTCAGAGTAGCTGCAGTACAGTCTTGAGGCATCACTCTGTATTCGGCAGGTGTGAAGCGCATACCAGGTATACTCAGGTTCCTGCTTAAGGCGTTCGGAAAACCCCGCATTTTGTTAACGTCTTAGCCCAGCAGTGCACTATCATTTGTTCACTTAGTCGTCCAGGTGTCCTCCAGCGAGTAGGTCAATATCTGTAAGGTCGAAGGCAGCTTAGGGAATATTCATCAGTGCTTTCATAATAAAACCAAGTAGGAATTGAGACAGTAAATGTCTCTTACAGGCACCGTTGGCTATCGTCACTTCACACAATAACTCCATAAGCCATCAGAGGACTCTGTGGGCTCGATTAGAGAGCTTTGATTAGCATTACATACTTGCTTGGTTATCCTCTTCGCAGTAAGACACTGCCACAATACTTATTGGTTGACAAAGTCGAATGTCACCTTCAGGTTAAGAAATATGGCAAGTGTTGGTCATATGTTTCAGAACCTGTCGAAGGTCAAAGATTCGGTCGATGCACCCTCGTCCAAGTCTGAAGCTCACTTGGTTTCCTGAAGTATGCTGTTTTGGAGCTCCAGTTAGGTGTCTTATAACGATGGACTCTAGGGTCGTCTACAAGTTGTTGATTAAACTGATTCGCCTATAGAAGACTTCTCACTGTTTTTGTAAATTGGAATGACCGGGTATGCAAACCAGTCTGATGACAACACCTCTGATTCCCATACGCTACCTATTGACTCCGTAAATCAACTCAATAACTTCATACTTCCATCCCTAAACCTTTTGATGACAAACCGTCAGGTCCTTCTAGTTTGCATCTCTTCATGTTTAAAACAAATTCGACGAAATGTAGGACTGACATCTACGTCCCATTCAGGGCCCGGGCTGGGTGCTGGGCAACAAAGGTGAGCCAGTTGAACTGTGCTTGAAAATATTACACCAAGTGTCTCCAAGCCTTCTGTCCTAAGGGGCTATAAGGGTCCCATCCTTTTCAGCAATGTTCTCATTAGCCATCGTCATCTTTTCGCCAGTATCCCTAATAGTCTGGATAAATTGCCAAGTGTTATCTAGTGCTGATGCCTTAGACATCTCTTTCGCTTTCGTCAATCACGAAGGCTTGAAATCATTACAAAGACACAGTCGATTTACGTTTGAGCTGCTTTCACTCCTCATTGCAGTCAGAGTTAACTGGAGTCAGTCTTTTCGCAGCAATCATTTAGGATGACTTTGCGGAATTTCACTAGCTTTTGCTATCCTTCTGGTTAAGGTTGCCAACCACCTTTACTGCTGTTTCTACAGCAGATGAATATCACATCAGTCTTCGTTAGAATGAGAATTCCGGCCATGTTTAGATAAATGTTTCTGTATCTTTCTAAACGCACACTTGACGTTCTCGTCTTCCAGTTGAGCGTACAGGCGTCACCACCGCCTGCTTCCTGCAGCCAGTAAGGTGCCGCCTGATCGGAGTTAAAGCAGGCACTCCGGAAAAAGCGAAACTCTTCCACCGATTCTCTCCAACAATGGCTTATAGCAATATCTTTCTCTGCATACGCCAGTGATCCACATCTCCACAAGTAGGAAAGGCAGAAGACATTGATCATCAATTAGAGTTATCTGACGTTACACCAAAGCACTCGGTAAAGATGTCTATAAGACTTTAATCAGTTGCCATGGCTCGATTATAAACTTTCAAAACATCACACCACTGAGATTTCTTTACTACAACACCTATAATTATTTTGAAATCAGATGGTGATCTGTCCTCTGAGATCACTAAGTAGAGCAGTGTTCGCCAAGTGTGTATGCTCCGTATTTTTCCTCAGCTATGCATAATTACGTACTGTTCCCACTTTTAGAGGATCGTTACTTCTCTTAAAAGATCTCGGGTATCTCCAAAGTTAGCCCAGGAGCATGAGAAATGCAGAATGTTCTAGTTATCGAAGACCGTAACATTAGAAGGATTGTAGTGTGTCCCACACTTCCCAAATAAAAACTGTTTCCTCACATCACTACCTCATTTTAGAAGAGAGAACCAAGTATTTGAAAGCTTATCTTTGAGTCGTACTAGCTATGGTGGGCTAGTGGCTAACAAAGTATCATTATTCACGTGAAAATCTTATCTAGCTTTTACCAACTTGTAGCGTCAGTGAGGTATCTCAATATTTATAAAGCCGAGTGTACAACTCAGTAGTGTACCCTTTCCTACTGCGTAATCGTAAAACAAGACTGTCAAAATGTGAAGACTGTAAGCACCTAGCTACTGTTGCTTTTGTCATATTTCGTTGGGTGGAGTGCTAGGCGAATGAGGCACGTCAAACGAACCAATAAGCTTTCATCGGCTAGTGAGGTGAGGCATGTGTTAGGTGTACCTAGTTGCATGCTAGCCGTGTGGTGGGCGTTGCTGATAAGAATGGATATAAGTAGTATATGTTGAGAGGGTGGCAGAAACCATAGGGAATTACCAGCAATGGGTAAGGATTCCGCTAAGAGGAACGTAAAAGACAAGACAGGCGTATGAAGAGCAAATCAAGAGAGAAGCAGAATAGGAAACGAAGCTTATTTTGTAAATGACAGTTTTAGTGCAAGGTATACCATATTTAGCGACTTTTGTTCCACTTGTTGACAATAAACATTCCTTCATCCTTATCTGTCTTCTTGCTTCTTTAAATTTGTGTCGCTGCCTCATGACGGGATGAAAATTCCGTAGCCTGCAGTGTTCGAGGATGGAAACATCAAAGTCTTTCTCAGGGACTTCGAGTCGGTTGCGGAGTAAGTGGGTGTTAGGGATCCAAGGACGAAGGTCGTGGTGCTGGGCACGTTGCTGAGGGGAAGAGCGATAGCGGCGTATAATGGCGTGGAACGTAGAGATGGAGCTCGAAACTGGAATAAACGAAGATCCGCTGGTTTTGGCTGTGAAGTTGACCAAACTACTTCGACGAGCACTTCCCACGTTGAATGAGGAGTCTCAGGAGCAGTTGCTGGCTGCACAGTTCACCGAAAGTGTCCCGAATGCTATCGCCCAGCAGTTACGACTCGTGAACGCAGCCCAACCCATGGACATTACTGAGATGGCCAAGGTGACCAGACAGCTAATGGGTACAGGAGTTGTGGCAGTGGAGTCCCCAGAGGTAAATAACTGGAAAAAACAAATCAACAACCTTCAGGAGGAGGTGGCTGCACTTCAAATGAATATCAACAGACAGGGTAAATGCTTTGGATACGGAAAACCTGGACACTGGCCAAGAAACTGTCCGGAGAGGCAAAAAAGAAAACTATATAATATGAGTCCTGTTTTTCCAACTAGACTAGATATTGCAAGAGCCATAGATCGAGGTGCTGTACATGCCAGAATGCGAATAAATGATCGAGAAATCATGTGTCTAGTAAATACGGGGGAGGCAGTCTCGTTGATAGATAAGAGTCAGTCTCAGAACATAAGACCATGTGCGCTAACGGTTGGGGGGCATGCGTTAGAAATCGCAGGCTTATCAGATTGCGTAGTTGAGATCGGAAGCCGGAAAATTCGATTCCCATTTATTGTGACCACGTGTCTACAACGGCCAATCCTAGGTGCTTATTTTGTGAGAGAAGTGGGCGCCGTTGTTAACACGAAAACAAGAATGGTGGCGACGAAGTACGGGTCGTTCACCACGCAGGAAAACAGCGAGGTAGCAGAGATTGGGGTGAGGTATCAAAAGCACCACACCCCCGGAAGCGCCAAACATCACGGATACTGTGACAAGGTTCAGTATCAAATCCCAGTGACAAGTCAAGCAATGACAACATTTATAACACGGCGAATACCATGTCATTTGGAAGGAGGAATTGGGCACCAGGTTCAGGAAATGCCAAACGAAGGTAGTATTGTAGAGGCTAATAACCCATACAGTTTGTTAGTGCTTTTAGTAAGAAAGTCAAATGGGAAATATAGATTCTGCGTTGATTTCCGAGAGTTAAATAGCATAACGCAACTGAAACCGTGTGCCGCCATACCGACGGTAGATGAAACACTAGATCGTTTGCAGAATGGAAAAGTATTTACAGTTCTGGACCTCCTCTCAGGCTACTGATAACTACAAATGAAAGAAGGCGATAAAAAGAAAACAGTATTTATTGTGGGTAAGAAGCAATACCAATTCAAATGAATGCCATTTGGTCTGGCAGGTGCGCCATTTACATTTAGACGGTTGGTGATGTTGTTGCTGAAGAATTTAGAGAACGTAGAGATGTACGATGGTGACCTGGTGGTGTACAGTCAGATGGAGGCAGAACCTCCTGAACACCTAGAAGCTGTTTTAAGACGCATTGACGAGTTTGGACTTCGCATCAATAAGACAAAATCTCAGATAGCCAAGAAGATTGTTACATTGCTAGGACATTAAGTTGGAAACGGTGAAATAAAACCACTACCTGAGAAAATTCTGATGGTCAGAACTATTCCAGTACCGAATTCCAAGAGGAAACTGTGACATTTCATGGGTAGAGCAGCATTCGACAATCGGTTCCTCAAAAAGTTCAATGAGGTAGCAGCACCTTTATATAAGCTACTTGACAACCCCAAATTTGTGTGGATGAAGGAGGCACAGAAAACGTTTGATCACATCAAAGAACTCCTAAATGACCAGGAGATGACGTTCAAACTACCAATACCTGGGAGGCCATTTGTCGTGTCCACCGATGCAAGTGATTATGGAATAGGCGCAGTCCTGAGACAGACTGAAGGAGTAATGGAGTATGCCAGCCGTGTCCTAACACCTGTAGAACAGAAATATTCTGCAGTGGAAAAGGAATGTCTGGTGATAGTTTGGGAGCCTGAGAAATGGAGATTGTACCTCCTCGGTCAACGATTCCACATTAAAACGGATCATAAACCTCTACAGTGGCTTAAAACAGCAAGAGACCCCAGAGGAAAATTATCACTTTGGATGTTACGACTGCAATTGTATGGTTTCATAATCGGTCATGTGGCAGTGAAAAATAACTGGTTCGTGGACTTCTTATCAAGATCAGACGAAGAAAATGAAGTACTGGAGATTGCATACAGTGTACATGCAGTGGAACTAGACCCATTAAGACTTATTCGCCTTCAGAAGTCAGACCCAACACTTAAGGAAGTGATAAAAACCATAACTGAAGGAACGGAAACAAACAACTTCATGAGAAATGAAAAGTCGAGAACGTTGTTGACTCAGAAAGAACGCCTACGGACTAATACTTATGGAATGCTGACTTGGCGAGAAAACGACGGGGGCTGGTTGGCAGTGATTCCGAAATGTCTACGCGACAAAATGATACAAGAATGCTGCCTGTTAGCTCATACAAGTGTCTCACGGATAGCCGACCATCTCAGACAAAGTGCATACTGGCCAGGTATGAGAGAAGATGTTGCCAAACACGTGATGGGTTGTCCGCATTGTCAACTGATGAAAGGTGATAGGTATGTACGACCGCCGCTTCAGTCGATTCCAGTGCAGGCAGTTAGTGACTTGTGGTCTGTGGACGTGGTGGGACCATTCCCGCAGACATCTAGTGGCAACCAATACCTGTTGGTAATGACGGAGCATGTTACACGATGGGTAGACGCTGTCGCGATTCCGCATCAACACGCGAAGACAGTGACCGCAGCGGTGAAGCCGCATATTGTTGCAGATCACGGTGTGACGAAAATGATACTGACCGACCAAGGTTCTTGTTTTGAAAGTGAAGAATTCAAATCCTGTTTGGAGCAGCTTGATATCAAGAGGATAAGAACGACGCCGTACCACCCACAGTCTAAAGGTCTGACAGAAAGGAATAAGCGTACACTTAAGGAGTGACTGGTTTCGAAAGGAGGGAATTGGGAGACGGAACTGCCGTTAGTATTATTAGCTCATCGTGCCTCTATACAAGGAGCCAAGAAGTCATCGTTCCAGTTAATGTATGGCAGGAAACCATGGCTCCCAATACATAGTAAGACCTGGCCCCAACAACAGCCACGGAACATGACTAGATTGAGAAATGAGCGGGAACAGACAATCAGAAATGTGGAACGAAAGCAGAAGGCTGATGCTGAAAAATCTGAGCAGAGAGAAGAAAAGGAAGGGAAACCATTTTAGGTCGGAGATCAGGTGAAATGTAAACAATGAGGATATACGTCAGGAGGTGAATATGGCAAACGAAAACTATTCCCGAAGTGAGAAGGACCATACATCAGTTTATACTATCAAGAAAGGGGACAAAGAGAAAAGAGTAAATGCAAGCCTACTTCAAAAATGGAAGCAGTGGGAAAAGGACGAAACTCTGCATGAACACCAAGAGAGACAGCACCAAGATGATCAACTTGGTTGCAAGCCTGAAATTGTGAGGGGGAACGAGTGTAGTGGGCGTTGCTGATAAGAATGGATATAAGTAGTATATGTTGAGAGGGTGGCAGAAACCATAGGGAATTACCAGCAATGGGTAAGGATTCCGCTAAGAGGAACGTAAAAGGCAAGACAGGCGTATAAAGAGCAAATCAAGAGAGAAGCAGAATAGGAAACGAAGCTTATTTTGTAAATGACAGTTTTAGTGCAAGGTATACCATATTTAGCGACTTTTGTTCCACTTGTTGACAATAAACATTCCTTCGTCCATTTCTGTCCTCTTGTTTCTTTCAGCAAGAGACCTAAGTATAGCACTACTCTTTGAACTCTCAGTCTTTGTTGTATAGGGAACTGTAGGGTACCTGGTTGCTGCTCAATAGCTAGTTTTTGTTAATGATTGAAGACTAGAGATTTTCTCACTCAGAAACGATCACTTTGACGCTTTTTTCTCAAACCTACTATTGTATGTTTTTTCTATGCAGTTTCAGACCTGGACGAGGGTGCTTCTATCAGATTTTCACCTTAAGGTAGGACCTGGAACACAGACATACTTACCAGTGGCCGACACTTGCCATTTTTCTTGACCTGGAGACTGCATTTGACTCTGTTGACCATGAAGTATTATGGCATTGTGTGAGTTTGAAAGGAGTACCAAATAAGTATATGATGCTGATCAAAGCTCTCTACTCGAACTTACACACAGGTGTTAGGATTTATAGTGACGACACCTGGTGGTATGCATCAAGGATGTTCACTTTCACAGTTCCTATCTAATTTTCTCTATAAATGTACTAATGAACGTAACCTTAGGTACGTCTGACTTCACAGGGATTGGTTCACTTCCTGGATAACATGTATTTGACTTGGAGTACGCTAAGTAAAAGCACTGATAAGACGGAAGATCTTCTGAACGCGTTGAGCGGAAATTTAAGCATATTTGGCATGCGCTTTGCACCTGTACGATGATGCTTCAGGACTGGCTTGCATCTGTTCCCAGTTTCATGATAGGGTGTGAATTGGTAACATGCATCGAACACTGCACTTACTTGGAGAGTTGCATCAGTTCGATCGGTTTGGTTATTGATGAAATTCCATTGTCTATGCAGTTTGCTTTTGTATTTTATCCGTTTATTTTCATGTTTCTGAAACACTGTTTATCCTCCTTATTATCGTTATCCTCCCGATTTTTTTAAGGGTCTTACAGCATTCGATGCAGTAATTTATTTTCATTTTAGGCAACTATTTTGCCCGACGGAGAGCAGCAACTGCATAGTGTTTCTACTATCTTTACACGTAACAATAAAGATACTGACGTGGTTCCTCATGAACGAGAATATCGAACTGTGGAACACGTTGCAGCTAGCTGTCAACCTAAAAACACTTCTGTTTCACCGAATAGTAACAAAATTCTTGGGAAGTCATTGTGGAGTTGTACTCATTGTTCATTACGTTTCACACGCCCCAGTCATTTGGTAGACCATCTACGCATTCATACAGGTGAACGTCCCTTCAAGTGTGTTCTCTGTGGACGGGAGTTCACGCAAGCCTCCAACCTTCGCCGGCATCTGTCAAGCCATAAGGCCTGGCCTGCGTCATCCTCATGTATAACTACTACCATACCTAAGAAACCTCCCAGTTCCGAGATAATGTCCGAAAATACTGAAGTACGTAAGTTGTATCCGAATACGAGTGCACATAATTCATTTTAATTGGTTTTTCCCCAGTGAACTCTAATGATAAGTCTCGAAGCAAGTTGTCTAGTTCCATTTTCCGACTGATAGCTTCTACCTTGATTTGGTTGTCGGTTAGCATATCACAGTGACTGACTATGCCAGGAAAGTCTGTTGGATAGTCACAAGACAGAAGCCCTTGTCGCTATAGTGTAAATTACTTCGCTATGATAGGGTCCGAGAGCGAAGTTATACTTTTCGCTGAAAGGGGTGTAATAGCTGTAAAGAAGCTTCCGGTTTTTGATCAGCAGAACCATGCTAAAACAATCTTTCCTAAGGAGAGAATGGTAGCCAATAGTACACTTCCCACTGTCTTGCAGTATTCCGTCGCCTGCGGTATGAGTTTTCTACCTAGATTTAAGTCAATCAAAGCTAAAACTCAAATTTCCATAAAAATAATGTGTGATCGGCTTCAAGCAGATATCCTACGTACTCTGTGACCATGCATCACTATTATTGATTCAGTTTCATTTCCAGTTACCTCAAGAAGAAATAACTTTTCACGGTGTGGACAGCTGGGAACGTCAACCGCCCTCACAAAACCTTAAGAACCCAAGCTTTCGCAGATCATCGTCATCAACCTGCTACAAGTGTGCCGAGACAACCACAAACTCTAGACATAGAAAGAGACGTCTAACATGGTGTCCACTGACTTCAACACAACGGTGAACACAGATAGGCCGTATTGTTAAGTTATCACTGCACAGGGTCGATAGGAGACTACCGCTTCTTCTGGAGCAAATGTTTCGATAGTGGTCATGCGTTGGTTCGGGCACGCGTATATCTGCGTACACATGAACTGGTATCCTGCTACTATTCTGTTGTCAGCTATCCAACCGGATCCTGGATGAAACACTGAGATAGGCGCTCCAACTCTCGCAGAAGCTGAGAAGGCAGTAAGTAAAATGAAATGAGAAAGATATGTATGCTCTGGTGGACTAGTACCAGAGTTATTTAGAGATGGTAACCGAAGATTATAGCTTATGTACTGGTACTAGGTAGTATATGTGGACAACATATGATCTCCTTGGACTGCACTGGTCTCAACCACTCACTACGTTCATCTTCAGGAAGGGAAATAAATCCTCCTGTGATTACCATAGTGAGACCAATTTAACAAACATGATATCTAAGATCTTAGGTACACAATCATTTAGTGTCTAAATGAACCTTGGGCAGTTTTCATACCTGACTGTTAGTTTATTGACCACAAATTCTCCCTTCTTCTTAAGTTATGAAAACACGCACCCACATATGTCCAGTGCTAACTGTATTACTTGACCTAAGGGTGATATTCCATCCTGTCGACCATGAAATTTCGTTGCAGAGCCTTTCATTGAAAGGTATGTCGGATAAGTACATCACGTTGCTGTAGGCTCTGTATTCGAATAGTCGTGGGCCTGTTAGAGTCCAGACTGTAACATCAGCTGAGTTGTGAACGTCTAGTGATGTTCGTCAAGGGTCTCCACTGTCTCCATTATTATTTAACTTAGTCATAGACGGGCTTATACATAGCTTTTTTTTCCTCATCTGACTTTACCAGTATGTTACCGGCGACTGCTTAGTCGACCCAAGGTATACAAATGACATACTCATGTTACGTAAAGATGCTGTTAAGATACAAAGTCTTTCGAACACGTTGAATGACAATTTGAGAATACTTGAGTTGCATCACCCAAGTACAAGTCTTTGCTGCAGGTGTTTGTGGTTTGCGTTCTTGGCCTGCATAATAGTAAGGAACGCTTTGGCTGAGCGCGTTTACCACTTCACTTGGTTTATAATACACGAGTTCAATCAACGTCAAAACATCATCAGCTGACCTGTCTTACTTGCTTAGTATCTCTCACCTAACCATTTTCACATTGTTCGCAAGGTGATCCCATTGTGCGTGAGCAAGGCTACACAGACACTTGTTACATCTACCTACAGCGACTGTATATTACTCCTATGTAGCAGAACTGCAGCACGGTGATTTCACCAAGAATGCTTTACCTCTACTGCTTCCCTATCCCCTGTTACCGTATAAGCTCATTCCGTGGTAGTTTCTGTTATATCTTCGTATGCCAACGGCTACATATAACATTCCGAATAACAGAATACGCACGCCTAGCTGACAGCCAACTTAGTACGCAAGAGCCACTGACTGCAACCCCGGGGCGAATAGAGAGAATACCGAAGCTGGCAGATAGGAGAGTTTATTACTCCAAGAGCATAATAATCAATCAATCCAAAACACGTGAATATGTATACACATAAAATATGACCTTGACCGAAATTGGAGAAATTCGCATAGTAAGAGTAAAAGTTAACCAATAAGCAAATTACGTTACAACCTCGCCTGGTTAACTAGTTTACTAGTTACTAGCCGGTCCTAAGCCCGGGTAAAGAGGGAAGGTTGGGCATAGGGCTAGCAACCCTACCCCGTAAAACAAATCTAACTGCTAAAGAAACTTCAAAGCACAAACAAAATATAAAAAATGAAAACAAACTTATTCCCCGCTGGAATCGGAGAGGCGAAATGACGCCAGTTGGTGAAAGCCTTCGGGAAGCCAATTGGCCGATGTGTCTTCTCTCGATGAAAGCGAAAGTAAACGTGGGGACATGGAATGTCCGCACGATGTTTGAACCCAGTAAGGCAGCCCAGATTGCAAAGGAGATGAGAAGGTATAACATAGAAGTGCTTGGGATTTGCGAAAGCAGATGGAATGGGAGTGGACTCTCCAAACTGTCAACTGGAGAATCAATAATCTACTCCGATATTGTCACCCAGACGCCAACCACGAGCACACTGAGGGAGTGGCTATCATGATGTCCTCAAGAGCATCGGAGGCTCTCATGCAGTGGGAACCAATCTCCTACAGCATCAGGATCATGACAGCAAGCTTCAACTCCTCAAAAGGAAGGAAGGTCACAATCATACAATGCTATGCACCGACAAATAATGCAGAGCAAGAGAAAAAGGAGGAATTCTACAGACAACTTCAATCAACACTGGACAAGACCTCAGTTGGCGATATCAAAATTCTAATGGGCGACATGAATGCCAACCTGGGAGGGGACAACACGGGAAGAGAACTAACCATGGGTCGAGAGGCGCTAGGTGAAATGAATGAGAATGGAGAATTGTTTGCAGAATTCTGTGCATTCAACGATTTGGTGATTGGAGGCAGTGTGTTCAGGCACAAGGATATCCACAAAGCGACATGGACTTCACCAGATGGACACACTAAAAATCAAATCGACTTTATCTCAATCTCAAGAAAATGGAGACGCAGTCTACTTGACACAAGGGCAAGAAGAGGAGCAGATGTAGGTTCACACCACTCACTGTCTAGTGCAAGGAACCTACCTTCAAAATCAAGTTAAAAGCCTTCAAGGAAGCTGGTGATAGACCTCAATTCAAGTACAACACTCACAAACTGAAGGATGAAACTACAAAGCAAATCTTCACGGCAGCCAGCCATCAAGACAAAATGGGAGATATCGAGGAACATCCCTGAAGAAATACGTATGGAAGAACACTGGAACTCTTTGGAAGCTATGTGGAAAGAAACCTGCATAACCGTATTAGGAAGGAAGAAGAAAGAAGACAAGGAATGGATCTCGACGGATACATGGAAGCTGATAGAGGAGGGAGAGGAGGATGGTGAAGCAGAAGATAAACCAGTGCAAGGATGCTCAACGAGAAGAGGAACTGAGCACAATGTATAAAACACTGGACAAAGAAGTGAAGAAGAGTGCACACAAAGACAAAAGACACTTCTATGACACATTGGCAAGTGAAGCAGAACAGGCTACTGGTAGGAGAGACAGAGACCTGACAACATTGTATCAAATAACCAGGCTACTCACTATCTGGGAAGAGATCAACGCAGACGAAACCAATAAAAGGTGATGACGGAAATTTAATTAGGAGAGAAGAGAAACAGAGGAAACGATGGGCCGACCACTTCAAGAAGCTCTTGAATCGACCACCACCACCACCTGCAACTCGTCCAGAAATACCACCTGCAGCCGCTGAATTACAAGTGAACATTAAACCCCCAACGAAAATGGAAGTCCTGAACGCCATAAAGCTACTGAAATGCGGGAAAGCAGCAGGACCAGATGGAATACCGCCAGAAGCACTGAGAACAGATGCAGAGACAACAGCGGACATGCTCACACCACTATTGCAGAAGGTGTGGAAGGAAGAGAAGGTACCTGCCAACTGATTGGAAGAAGGGTTACCTTGTCAAACTGCCGAAGAAGGGAGACCTCAGTGCTTGCAAGAACTGGCGCGGAATCACTCTCCTGTCCACCCCAAGTAAAATATTAAGCCGCATCATCCTGGAGAGGCTTAAAGACGCACTGGATTCAAAACTGCGACCGGAACAGGCAGGCTTCAGGAAGTACAAATCATGTGCTGACCAAATTGCAACGCTTCGTATCATCATAGAACAGAGCGTAGAATGGCAATCAGCTCTATACCTCAACTTCATCGACTTTGAGAAGGCCTTTGACAGCGTCGACCGAGAAGTAATTTGGAAACTGCTTCAATACTACGGAGTACCGCAAACCTTTATCCGCCTCATTGAACAACTATATGAAGATGCCACATGCCAAGTAATTCACAATGGGAAGCTCAGTGATGCCTTTGAAGTGAAGACAGGAGTGAAACAAGGTTGCCTACTATCCCCCATGATATTCCTTATTGTGGTGGACTGGATCATGCAGCAAACAGTAGGCAGCGAGAAGAGGGGGATACACTGGACGACGGAAAAGAACCTAGAAGACTTGGATTTCGCCGATGACTTATGCCTAATGTCACACAAACTTGAAGATCTGCAGGCAAAAACTAACAAGTTGATAGAAGAGGCAGCTAAGACGGGACTTCAGGTGAATATAGAGAAGACAGAAGTGATGAAGATACTGCACCACCATCATCAACAACAACAACAACAAACTCCAATCACCGTCAACGGGAGAAACTTAAAGGAAGTAGCCTCCTTCACTTATCTAGGAAGCACTGTTTCCACTACAGGTGGCACAGACAAGGACGTCAAAGTCAGAATCGGAAAAGCAAGACAGGTGTTCATTAGCCTGAAACCAGTGTGGAGATCTTCTGCACTCAGCATGCGGAACAAGATACGGATCTTCAACACCAACGTCAAGTCAGTGCTCTTGTATGGCTCAGAGACTTGGCGCGTCACGAAAGGCATTTCCAATAAACTACAGACATTCATCAACAACTGCTTACGCTCGCTGCTGAAGATCAGATGGCCAGAAAAAATAAGCAACAAGGAACTCTGGGAACGAACCAACCAAGAACCTATCACGCAACAAATATGCAGGAAGAAGTGGAGATGGATTGGCCATGCACTGAGAAGGCCGACTGAGGACATCACGCGTCAGGCCAGTCCCTCGAGTGGAATCCCCATGGGAAGCGACGAGTTGGACGTCCGAGGGTGACATGGAGGAGGTCATGCGAGGAGGAAATGAGAGCTTCTGGGCTGTCGTGGAACCAGGTTCAAAAGATCTCGGAGAACAGAGGTCACTGGAGACGTGCTACTGAAGCCCTATGTTCCACTAGGAACCCAAGGGACTAATAATAATAATAAATTACGTTACAATGTGGGCAGAAATTAAAGTACTAGTCATACTGCAAAATGGTGTGAGAATGCCAAGTTAAAAATGTTCAGATCGATAACGTTTTATACAAACTGGTGCCTTACACAGTCTTAGTACAAGGAATATATCTAACAGGATGCCTGTGCATCATATTTATACGTTAAAGGATGAAAAATCCATTAAAATTTTGTCCAATTCTATTCTTCGCTGTCTTGGATTTTCATGGTGTTAATTTTTAACTGAATAGTCATCAACTACTCTTTCACTAATAAGCTTAAATTTGCTATTTTATTAGGGCGTTGAGAATCCCACTTTATCGCGCCTGCTTCATCGAAAAGCATGGATATGTCGGTTTTGTGATCAAAGATTCGATACATATTCGCAACTTCGTGCTCATATGGTGCGTCATAAAGACAAACAGGTAATTTCTACCTCCTTGGCTTCTATATATATATATATATATATATATATATATATATATATATATATATATATATATATATATATATGTCCGATACAGCAGTCTTCATGGTGTTCATGAGTTATTATGTTACAGGTGGTTAAAGTTCTTAAAACCACTCGTTTGGATTTTAGTTCAGTTTTTTTTATTTTAACCTCTGTTAATGCTGATGAACATTACATATCATGCTGTATTGTATATGTATGTAATTGCTATTATTTATGTCCCAGGAATTTTTATCTGTGTTATCCTTTTCTTTTTCAGGTTTATGCCTGCGTTTTCCATGAATGCAAATCCTGTTTCATATCTCCAAATAATTTGTTACAGCATTTGATGGAAAAACATCAGTTCTACAAAAAGGATGGACCTACATGTGAAACTTGTGGTCAACATTTCCTAGGTGATTTGGTCTATGATGTTTTTTTTGAATTCTATGTACCGGTTAGACTACCTGAGATAACTTTCATAGGTGTGCTCACACAAAAGTTAAGTAGAATTCGAACTGGAGCTCTTCGGGTATTAGTCTCTTCTAGAATGAGATGACAAGTCTTGAACTGGTAGCTATTTGTATGAAGTAAAGAAATAAGTTTAAAAGGTATCCTTATCAACGACAGACTGGATTATAAAGATAGATAGTGGCTAGCAGTGGAATCCAGGATGCGCATTTCGTCCTTTTTGGGACTTGTGAGCTGGATGTACCTGCCTCCCAGTGAGTGATGTTATTTCCACCGGGATTCGGACTCTGGAGCGATCGCTTCAAACGCCAGAGCGTTATCCACTACATCACCGAGCCACGATAGACACTTTTTGTGCGACGAGTTGTTTAGGAAAGTTGGGCACCAATATAATGCAGTTCATCGTATAAAGTGTGATCCCTGCGTAATAAATTGAAACAAATAAAAAAATATTTTGTATATCTTGCTAGGAAGATCCTTTCAGGATTGTAAATCCAATATTAGGTTTTCATGTTAGCAGGCATAACCCTGGTGCACAAACTTTTAGACAACTTGCTATTCATCCGTTGCAATTTTGTTCTGACAGTCACTTTTTAGCGAGGACTAACTTTAGGCATGAAGAGAAACACTATCTCACATGCCGCTCGCCGACATCAAACCAACGATGGACACAGATAGATCACATCGCTATAAGCCATAATTGGAGAGGATCGGTGGAGGATTGCCGATCTCTCCTGAGTACCAGTTTGCACTCCTATCACATGCTAGTATAGGCTCATGTGTGTCTACGTCTCACTCGCTGCATGAAGAGGAAGCAGTGAGGCCTATTTGTGCTCGACTGGTAGATGAGGACGCCAAATATACATTTAAAGAGGAGTTAGCTCAGCATTTGTCTGAACGTGACAGCAATGCTTATGCTGAGGACGCGTGGGCTGATATTAAGTCTGGTGTAGAAACAGCGGTGAAGACAGTTTTTGAACCTACACCAAAGGATAACAAACGTCAGTGAATTTCTGCGACGTCATCCGAACTGGTTCGTGAGAGAATACTGGTTCTTTTAGAAGGACTTTGCACTTCGATAGTGCAAAGCACATACCATAATTACGGACAGTGGTCGCTAACTGATGGATGGGGGTTTGAGTAACTTGTGTGTTTTCGCATAGTAAAGGGGTATTGTCCGCATACTCGAGGTCGGAACGTCTTTCATCTGATAACGGGTCTGCATTACCACCACCACCGAGAATGTCATCGATGATAAAGTTAAGGAAGAATGACGAGATTAGAGAACCTTGTCTAACCTCGCTGTTGGTTTGGAAAGGGGGAGATAGGTGGTCGTCAGCCTACACTAGACCTGAGTTGGTGACGTATAGGACTTTCGAGATGCTAACAAACTTATCAGACACCCCGTTCTGATAAACATTTTTAGAGTACAGTTTTATCCAACTGATCGAAGGGGTCCCCAATTTAAAAAAAATGCAACGACCATTGGTCCGCAATAGGTGACGACCTGCACCTTACGAATCAAATTTTCGTACGTTTTGCCAAATATGGGTAACATCTAGTATTTCAGACGCTACTGATAGCACAACTATGCCCCGATGATTATCACTCACATTATGCAGACCATTTTTAAAGAAAGTTACAACAATGTTTTCATTCCAGAAAGATGATGTTATACCCTCTCAAACAATATAATCAGTTCCCTGACTACTGCCTCACCTCCATCCTTAAAATGAACCAGAGGGTAGGTTGTCTGGACCATGTACTTAAAGGTGCTTTGGGGTTTTAAGTTCCTTACGGACCTGCGTTTCGTCCGGATGATCGGTGTTAAATGGATATGGGCACAAGATGTTGATATCAGTGTAACTGGGGCAGTAGACCACCTAGATGGCATTTCGAAGTGTTTTATCTAATGTTCCAGGCGTTTACAAAGAGTGGTGATCAGCATACCATCTACTTTGAAGTTCGTCTCACTGACGCCAAGCTTTTTACTGCAAGTATCTTGGGTGAGCTAGAACAGCTTTTGACTATTGCCAGATGCATCTGCTGCTTCCATCTCACTTGAGCATTCCGACCTTCATACCTTATGGTCTCTACGCAGATGCTGTTTGATCTGTTGTGTTCAAGATTTGTGCATACCATGGTGCTCTGTGTCCGCCGAAATAAATCGACGAGGGTTAAGAATTTGTAGGGAGCTCACAGGGACCTAGTGCTTATTAACGGGATATTCTTCAAAGCCGCAATCAGCTCCATTCTCTCTTTTCATTACATCTTGCAGGTGCAACCAATACTAGGTTATTCTTTCTTAAGTTTCTACAACTACCGTTGAAACAGTTAACTGTAGTCTTCAGTTGTAGTACTAAGTGCTACCAGCTCACTTAATTCTACCCTTTTCGGACGACGATTTCGATAACCAAGATCAACTCGGCACATACTAACGCATGATCAGAGTCAAAACAGGTGCACCGAACGGAACGACCTTCCAGAATACACCAACGTTATCGGTGACATTACAATGTGATCCATTTGATTCTAGCCTTAAACAGAAGAGGGAGAACTCAAGATATGTTAGTGACACTGGCTGTGCTCAAAGTTGTTGGCTAGGCGCAGGTTATGATCTGCGAAAAACTGCAGGGGACGTTCTGCATTATCTGACTTGTAATTAACTAGCCCTAACTGGTCACCTAAACGACCCTATTCTAGGTCTAGAGGTCCGACCTATGCATTCAAGTATCCAGCTGGTACTATGATATCTGTAGAACATCTAGTAAAGAAAATCACTCAGGTGATGGCAGAACTCATCTTTAACTGAGTTTGGGTGGCAATTAGTCGGAACATAGGCAGAGGTGACAGAGAGACATTGTTTCTCTCTCAAGTAGTTACTTCTCACTCCAATCGAACTATCTAGCTTAACAGAACACAGACGACCTTTAATGGGTATTCGTCGACTAATGCAGCTTCGGCTCTGGTATTTACTGTGACACTAGCGAGACAGGTTCTCGGGCCACAGGTTCTTTGGATAAGTGCACTGACAGTAGAATATTCGTAGCATGTCACAGATCTTGTATATGGTTCTCCGAGTTGTAGTCTACATCAATAGGTAGACTTTCCAAAGCCGCAGTGAAATCTATCTGTTGTTTGATCTGAATCAAGGTTTGGATTTTGTAATCTGGCAGCTTACGCAATGCTCTTCGTTTAAGAATATGTTTATCAGATATCTAATTCAAGAACATTGTTATTGAAACAACTATGTGGCGACTCATAACAGTACAGGTAAGCAAAGATTTTAGTTAGTAACAGGCCGGTGAGTGAAATAAAGATTCAAATAGAGATGGAGGGAAAAATGATAATAACAGCATAATTCGTAAACGAAAATAACGACTCTATCAGGACAAACAGAACGAGTGAATGGATATCTTGTTACCTCCTGAATTTTAGCTTGTGCAAGGAAATCGTATAACTTCTTACTTGTCTTCATTGTTTATTTGATGCATAAGTTGTAAGTGGGCAGTTATAACTCCCTATGCCCTTAAACCGAAGCAAGTTGTTGTGTTAATGGATATTTACTTGCGCCTTTTACTTGTTGATCCTCAATGCAGTGGAGTGAAATGAAGCGTTGCATTCCTATGTTTACTGGTGACCAAGATACGTTCATATGGCATTCTTCCATTCTGGATCATGTGTCTCTTGTGCACCATCAGGGCTTCCTATTCGCATAAGTATGTCTTCT